TAAAGTTAAGGTAAAGCAATACTATCTAGAGCTCCAACTAAGCGGCTAGGTAAAAATAAATTTATTTCCACACAACTGAATCTAACTCCATACTCGTACAATGTAAACAAATGTAAATGAAGCAAGGATAATATTTAAATGTAACTTTCTGCATACTTTTCTATATGTTATAGCATAATAACGAAATATATATCAAATTTCAAACTAGTCACTCTTTCACTGTTAAATATTGATTTGGCAGTGGAGGAGTGATTTGGTTGTGGATTAGTAAATTGGTAGGTAACTAAATTCATAAAAAAGGTGTAGCTGCAGTGTTTCATATAGTCAATAATTAACTATGTAGCAATATCTTATGGTTAATAATTTTCCAATGTTCTTAGTATAAACGGTAAATTTTTGTTTGCTTTTTTAAGTAATATCGTGCCATCTCATCCTTCAAAATGGTTCCAACTTTACGCGTTACCAAAACCAGCCAACAACAAGACAACCAGCGTTACAGCAATTGAGCTGTGACATATGCTGAGTTTGGATCCATTTCAGCTCGTAACTGTAACTCTTTGTATACTGGTAATGTGTGATGCTGGCTGAATAAACGTTTCTTTCTTTCTTTCTTTCTTAAGTGGCTTCAATATGGATAACCTCCCACATAACCTTGAACCAATTTCTCTCACCTTATCTGACGAAGAGGGACTTGACGATCCCTATGACACTGCAAACGAAGAGCCAGATTCCGTTTCTATATTCTGCCAGAGGGTTTGCGACTACGCTAAGCAAATAACCCATAAATTCTCCGAAAATAAAAGCGTCACAAAACAAAACAAAGACAGTATTATTGAATTTGCCAAGAAAATAATGACCATCGCAGAGGAATTCCGAACATACAACAAGAAACCTCAAAGTAGCCAAGCAATTATACGCGAAGACAGAATGGTCTCTATTATAAAGGATACCATAACTCAATAACTTTTAAAAATAAATAAGCCTACGGGTAATGTGTCCACACCCACATATGCCTCCGTGACACGCAAGCAAACTACCAACCCCAAAGAAATGATCCCCACAACCAAGCCTGCTCTGATAATCTCACCAACGAAGGAAGTTCACAGCCCTGCTGAAACTCTACAAAAATGGAAAAAGTCTATTTCCTTCCGAGACACCAACTTCTCCCCTGCGAGCGTCAAATATGTCTCCAATAACAAACTCAGAGTTGAGTTTGATACTGAAGTTCAAAGAGATGAAACACTTCAGAAAGTGAACAGCAATGCAGCAGAGATCAAAGCTGAAATATCTAAAAAACTTAAGCCTATGTTCATACTAAAAGGCATATCTCAGGACACTCCATCTGATTTACTAACGAATATCTTGTATAACCAAAATTACTGCATTAAGAATCTTACCGATGACTCTTCTCAATTGGCATTTAGATTCATGAGAAACAACAAAAATCCTCACCTTTATAACGCCGTCTTTATGGCATCTCCAGCATTATTCCGTGCCATTATGAAAAACGAAAAACTCAACGTTGACCACCAGAGAATCCATGTGGAAGAATATATTCCTCTACTTCAATGCTATAACTGCCTACAGTTTGGACATACTAAGAAACGATGCTCCCAAGACAATCCTGCTTGCTCCCATTGTTCTGCTACAACTCATATATACAGAGAACGTCCTGTAAAAAAGGATCAGTCGAAAAATTCGTGTTACAACTGCATCACACATAACAAAAGATATAATTTAAATAAATCACCACCGAACCATAGCGCTACATCTAATCAGTGTCCTAGAGTCATCCAAATGCTTTCAAAAATACGCTCTCGTATTGACTATGGTTCACTCACGTGATTCTAGTTGTATATAATATTCAACAATTCTGTACTCGTCTTATTAATGTTTCGATCTACGTGGCCATACTGTTGTGGACAACCTGCGACTCAGCCTGATCATCTTGTTGGTAACTATTCGGTGATCTGGATATTTTGTGACATAGTCGTCGGGTCGGTGACTGTCTGATTACTTGGACAGTTGGCGACCAAGCCGTCTGTCTGGTCGGTGACTTCCCGGTGTTTCGGACGGTTGGCGATTCGGCTGTCTGGTTGGAGTTTTCTGGCTTGCTGGTGTCTTGGTGACCTGTGTTGGTGACCTGTATTGGTGACTTGTGTTGGTTACCTGTGTTGGTGGCCTATGTTGGTGACCTGTGATTTCTCGCTACGACTTCAAAATAAGCTGACATGTCTTCAAGCCCACCACTTTACATTGATTTGGATAAAACTGACAGCGTCGCCGCGGACCCAATGGACACTCCTGCTGACAGTTCGGGACGCAGCTCCTGAGACTTCAGCCCACGATGCCTCTAGTGATATGGATAATCCACACAAGTCTGGACAATCTCAATCTACTTCTTTTCTAGTCTCCGACACTGACAATGCAACTTCACTGCTACTATAGCTTCGAGAACGTATTCAATATGAGGCAGAGGATTCGTCAACGTCCACCAAACAGCTGTTTGTTGATGACCCGGGTACACCACCACAAAAACAAAAAAGGCATAAAAGGAGACATTGCAATAGGAAGTCGCCGCATCCTGCAGACACTGCATCCGACTCCACCGAGTCTGTGGACGAGCTGAGATTTTAGTTTTATATTACCATAAAACAAAAATTAAATTTATATAATTAAAATTATATTATATATATATGTATATGTTTTATATATATATATATATAATATAAAAAAAAAAAACAAAAAATTATAAATAAATAAATAAATCTATCGAATTTCATATTCCACTCTGTAAAACGGCTTTGTGTTATTATTCGTTTTTCTTAAAGATTAATTGCATTCCTTTTGTCTTTTTATTCGCACTTATTGCTTACAAGGCTAACTTTATATTTGCAATGTATAACTACGCTGTTGTCAACTCATTTGTATTAATTGTAAATCCACATTTCACTATTTACAACTTCGCTTTGTGCTATTACTTAAAATCTACTACATTCTATAACTAATTGCTTTGTATAACCTTGTATCTACTAATTATAATTTGAATTGTTAACAAATACTCATTTGCAATGTATAATTCATAATTGTGTCCATATTGTGTCACAGTCGCAACTAGATCCAAATAATTAATATTTGCTTATAATATTCCTTTTACGGGTCGCTATGTACATTCCACTTTCTAATCACTCTGCACTTCCACTCTATATAGTATACTCTGACCCTTGCTAACGCTCCTTATACAATTCCATATTCCCGCTTCTTTTCGACCATTAACATTTATGTAAACATTCGTTCTCACACTTTCACTTCTAATTTTCTCCATACTCTCGCGGTACCTATAAATATATAAGTATTATTTGTCTTTCATCGTCTTCTCACACTATCTATACATCCAACGTTTTACTTATCTAAACACTTTCTATGCTTCTTAGTAAGCATTTATTTCCATTCTTATATTTACTCACACTAAATCACGTCATCCATTTCCATACTAAACCACTCTTCACCATCAATAACAGGCAGACTTGGGAGAAGTGTATCCCATTAGCGCGGACCCCATGTCAAGCCGTACTCATGAACTTAAAAAAAAACCTAACCTAACCTATGCGTCAGCTACAGAACTGAACACGTTCGCCGTGAAGCTTCAGAACGTTGTCTATGTGCTGAAAACCATAGACAAGCGTGGATTTCTGTACAACCCACTGCTGGCTCGAGAAGTGCTTGACAAGTTGAGCCCGCACATCCAGTCCCGCTGGTGCGACTACGCCTCAGATCACGAAGGAGCAGCAGACCCAGAGATCATCGTGCTATCACGCTTCCTTATGCGCGAGGCCGACAGAGCGCCGCACTATATGTACTCGCCCGCCGCGAGTACTGCCGCAACGACAAAGAGAGAAGTAAGACCCGCGATAGTGAAGAAGGCGAACGCCGTGTACACTGCCACGGAGATGGAACAAACGGACCGCTGCCCAAACTGCGGCCAACCCCACACGCTACACCGGTGCCCGTCCTACAAAGCACTCGGTGTTGATCGGCGCTGGAACATGGTGCGAGAGAAAGGAGTGAAACTCGAATTCGAGGTCGACGACAAACTCTAGACCTCAACAAGGACGCTCTCTTGGCAGCGACCAGAAAGTGGCGCGGGCAAATAAGGTGCGAATGTATGGGAAAACAAGACGTACTAGTCGCCATATTACACGCATTTTCCACTAAGCGGTTAGTCGCGGGCGGCTGGCCCCGCGTGAATCTTATTTCTTCAAATAAGTCGTTATGCTATACCTACCCATTGACGCGGCCGCGACTCTGAAGTAGAACAGAGCAGCGCGCGGTCGGCCGCCCGCGACTAGCCGCTAATTGGCAAATGGCACTTAACACTAGTAGGACGTGTACATTTTTAGACATTCGAATAAACTGTCAAATAAAATTTCATTTATAATTTACATTTATTTGTTTATTCTTCAATTACAATCACAGTTGTACAATTTGACATTCTTAAATTATCATTTTACATAATTATTGCAATACGTACTACGTATAATATAATTGCTCAATATAAAAGTATATAGAAGTTGGTACAATGCTTTAAAACAAATTGAAGAAGTTGATAATCTCAGTACAGAGTACCAAAAAACCGACCTCGGAAGTACGTGGAATTGCATATAATTACCAAGTTTTATTGAAATCGGTTATCAGATTCATCCATTAGTTCGCCACTATACGGGACTTGACACAGGAGATAATAAAAATCGGTCCTCACTACTCAAAGTATATTGAGAGAAAAACGCCTTGAATTGGAGAATAGCGAAATCAACCATTAAAATAATTGCTCCTTATAATAAAATTTAGGCGCTATTTATAAAAATGAATCTTCATACGTGAACAGCCACCGTTAAAGGTACCACTATGGAGGCACCCTCTTTCCAACAAAAAAGAATCATGAACATCGGTTCACAAATATCGGAGTTATCGCGTAACATACATACAAAAAAAACATACAGTCGAATTTTGTTAATTCCTCTTCCTTTTTTTAAGTCGGTTAAAAGTAGGCGTAGGTGGAGGGATTTAAAAAATAAGTCAACCACCACGTTAGATACATATTATTTATTGAATAGGTACAACGAGTAGCTTGCGGCCCTGGCGGCTAAACATCAGTGCCGTGAAGCGCGAGACTGTCACGTGCGTCATCGGCACTAGCGCGAGCAGCGCGGACGTCGCCGAAATATGTGCACTGTTCGCCAGCAGCGGCGTGGTTCACGAACCTGAAGCCTTGATTGGTCGACAGCTTAAATATTTCGTTCTTGGATAACGATAGTATGTGCACTTGCAACACTGAAAGTTGAAATAATATTGTTCAGTAAACATCTACAGTTAACTCTACCACATTTACAACCGAGGACTAAATCCACCTCGCCGGTCTGCTGCAACCTCTCCGTTCGATATATCGCTGAACCTTCTCTAATTACAACTTTTCTTATTCTGTTAACTAAGAGTCGTATTCTAGAACTCTACTCAATGCTCAAGTAAAGATTACACTGGAAACACAAGTACAGGAAATACGACCCTAATGGCAGGGACTTGAGTATGATTTCGAGTGCTTTAAACCATATTCAAATCCTGACCTGAGCATTGAGTAGAGTTCTAGAATACGACCCTAAGTGTAATTATCAAAATAAATGATAGTTTGGTCACATAGAAAAAATGAGTGTTAGTAGAACGCCATGGAATGGAACGAATGTGAACGAGGGCGCGGGTAAGCCTCGGCGTACATTTATCTCGATCAGATTGGAGATGTCTTCAAAAAAGGTTAGGCTAAAAGTACGAGGCATAAACGGGCAAGTAAGAAGAGAACGAAGGGAGTGGAGGAGACGAAGAGGAATAGGGGGTTTGTGGCAGCAGGTGGAAGTCCACGGTTCCTGCCTACACCGGCGGACAAAGCGCGTCAAGACATAAAGATGAAGATACAAACAAACAAACAAACAAACAAAATTTATTTATTTCTCCCAATAGCTGACAAATTTACAAGGGTTAAATGTACAAATATATATATTTACAATGCTATTGTGGGAGACTGGTGTCCAAGCTAGGTTAAAACCTGTGTTATGGATCACCAGGCCTCCACCCCACGGACATTTCAGTCAAATATTGCACGTGGATACATTCACAAAAATAAATAAATAATAGTAAGCTATTAATACATAGAAAAAGATCTTTATAATTACTCAATTTCATAAAGCACCTATATAATTGTGTGATTAATTTGTTTGTCTGTTTAAGTATGTATGTATGTATTTATGTGTCTATGAGTGTGTGTGTGTGTGAGTGTGAGTGAGAGAGTGAGTTATTGTGTGTTTGTGGGTTGGTGGGTTGGTGTGTGCGTGTGTAGTCTGTATTATAACTAATTGCAAACAGCACACTAGGTGATTATAACAATATTAAATATTTACTAATAGTAGATTTTCTGTTTTATCATAACCTAGTGTAAGCAACCATTCGGAAACAGTTCGTTTACATTCCTGTTTGCTTAATGGGTACAAATTTAACATTTTATTACATTTATTATATATGAAACCACCCAAAAATGAAAACGCTCTATGAGAGAATGTTGAGTGTTGTCTATAACTGCATACAATATCCTTGCGTCTTTTTGATGTTATTATAGAGGGTTCATATGGTAACTTGGAATGAACTTTTGCGATAACGCACATAATGTATAGTTGCCGAACTGTGTGTACTTTGCATAGTTTAAATAACTCTGAAGTGGGAAATAAAATGTTAAGATTTTGGGAAGTCTTGAGTACCGCTCTTTGTGCCCTTTCTAGTTTTAACATGGTAGATTTGTAAGTTCCGCCCCAACTAGTTATACAGTAGCAAAGTATAGATTGACATAGCGCTGTGTACACTATTTTGATAGTTCTATGGTCTGCAACATTACGTAAATTCTTAAAGATATATATTAGCTTCCGTATCCTTGGTACCAGTCTATCAACATGTTTATTAAAATTGAGATTGTCATCGATATATATCCCAAGGTATTTGATTGTCCTAACACTCTCTAACTTGGAGCAATTACAACTAATGTCATGCGGCGGAGGACATTAATGCGCCACAATGGAGAAAGGCATGTTAGTTACGTAACCCCGCTTTGTGAAGGTAATATATTTGGTTTTATCTATATTTAAAGTCAAAACATTGTTACATAACCAATCGTTCACATTGTCAAAACCATGCTGGGCGTACGTGAATACTTCTTCCCAACTTTTAGCACTAAATGTTAAAGTGGTATCATCAGCGAAAGAAATTATACGGCCATTGAGTAACTCTAAATTACATAGTTCATTTACATAAACTAGGAAGAGGGTAGGCCCCAAAATACTTCCCTGCGGAATGCCGTAAGAGAGCGGTTGATCGTCACTAACAATATCCCCGATCTTAACATATTGCGTTCTATTGCTCAAGAAACTACTAAAAAGTCTAAGCTGCGTGTCTCTGATACCTATTCGCTCCAGTTTCTTGATCAAAAGTGGGATTGAGACCGTGTCGAAAGCTTTCGCTAAATCTAGGAATACAGCTAAGCATTTCTTTCCTTCATCTATATTTTGAAAAATATAGCTAGTAAGTTCGTGCACGGCATTCTCTGTCGAACTGCCGGCACGAAAACCGAATTGTGATGAAGAAAGCAGCTTTTTTGCTTCTAGAAAAGTAATCAGCCTTGTATTCATGATCTTTTCTAGTACTTTGGACATTGATGGCAGTATAGATATTGGCCTATAGTTGTCGACACGGTCCCGATCTCCACTCTTGTGGACAGGTATGATCAATGCTTTCTTGAAGGCTCGCGGAAAAATGCCACTCATAATCGCCAAATTACATATGTACGTCAAAGGTGGCACAATTAAATCCTTAATAGATTTCAAAACTTTACCACTGATATTATCCCATCCCACCGCATTGCTTTTCAATGACACAATCAATCTCTCAACTTCGCCTTCATCCGTGGGCAAGAACACCATTGAATGCAAAGAGCTACTGGCAACTGCAGTATTCAAATTAGGGGTGGTATGTGTTGTAATAATATTTTCGGCCAGATTCCTTCCCACATTTACAAAAAAGTCATTTACCTTGTTAATAGCATCACGAGTATCAGTGCCGATAGAAATCAGCTTTGCAGCAGGCATTTGCATTTCTTTTCTGTTGGTGATAATATTTATGGTCTTCCAAAGTAATTTAGGATTATTTTTAGCCTTATCAAGTTCACACTTCTCATAGTCTCTTTTAAGCTTTTTTAATAAATTATTGCAATAGTTGCGATAGCGCTTATAAGTTATAGTGACAATTGTATTATTTGGATTCTTTTTTGCTTTTCTATGAAGATTGTCTCGGTTACGCATGCACCGCAGCAATCCTGGAGTAATCCAAGGTTTTATGATTCTTTTATTCTTCGAAAGGGCTACTAATTTGGTGTTAGATGCTACTGCTTGGGCTACAGAGGAGATCAGATAATCAGTGGCAAAATCAACGTCATTAGATTCAAAAAGTGGTTTAAAGTCTATGTTTGTTAAACTGGAAAATACTCCGTCGTAATTAACACTGGATAAATAAGTTGTTGAATAGTTGATAATTCGCTTTAATCTAAGGAACAATACGACAGTTTCATGATCTGTTACACTACTTTCAGCGACGTATGTAAACGCTTGTGCTTTCGTTTTTAAAAGTATATGATCAAGACAGTTACTCAGACGAGTGGGTATAGTATGCGCAGTCAGCAACCCGTGATAGGCTGCTAGATCTAAATAATCACTAGAGGTAACATCTAAATTTTCGCCGCTTATATTTATATTAATATCTCCCGTGAGAATAACCGTGCCGTATTTAGAGTAATTAGCTAAAATATGATCTAATGAGTTTTGAAATTTTGATAGGTTTTTGTATGATGGTGAACGATATATAGCGATTATAACGACGTCAAAATCAAATTTGGCTACTAGACAATTTGCTTCAGCGAAGGATGGCTCCTCCACATCAACAGATAAGCTGTTATTTACGTAAATTACAACTCCGTCATTTTGTATGATATTGTTACTAGTAGCGAATCTATTGTATCCATTTAATATTGGTATGTTAGGATTAGATTTTAACCAACATTCTGTCAACACCATGACGTCCCAATTGACTTTGGATCTTGCTATTAGAGTTTCTAGCCCAGGCATATTGCATGAAATACTGCGAATGTTCTGATTTAAAAGTTTTAAAAAGTGTTTAGAGCTATCCATTTGTGACTGACAATTTTCGATATTACCTATTTTGGCTGATTCTGATACAGCAAAAGAATCAATGTCATTTTGTAAGTATATATTATCGAATTTTAAGAGAAATTTCCACTTTGTCAATGTGATACAATGTATACAATAATTTGAACATTATGATAAAGTAGTGATACCATTCACAACTTTTTTTAGTAATAAAATGAGTTTTGATTATGTTATATGGAGTGTGTTTTGATTTGTAAATAGTGTTTGTGTTATGAGGAGTGAGTTTTGACTTGTAGATAGTGTTTGTGCTTGTGTGAGAGTGAGGTGATGTGCTCAGATTTGTGTGCGTGTAAGGTTTAATATCATGAGGTGGTGTGCGTGCGTCTAATATTACATTATTGTTTATTAGTTTGAACATTATGATAAAGAAGTGATACCAATTACGACTTTTTTTATTAATAAATTGGATTTTGTCTAACATTACATTATTGGTTATTAACTTATAGATATAGAATACAAAAAGATCCATACAAAAAAGAAGAACAAAAATAAAAGTAAGTAAGTACCAGCGAATATAAATCTTTTTTTTTATGAGATTCAGACTTAGAATTAAAATTAAAATGCCTAGTCAGTTCTTATTCTTCAGAGTTGACAAATCCCGTTCTGAATCAATTCGAACTCGAGGGGACTCGTCATCTTTTCGTAGGTAAATTTGTCCATATGATGTCCAGCAATATTTGAAAAAGTTGGCAGAAGCAAATTCTCGGGTCACCGCAAAGAGTTTTCTAGTCTTGGCACAGAGATTATCGGACATGTATATAGGAGTTTTCGGCCCGCCAATTTTCAAGTGTGCAGAGTTGAGCTTATCATCCCGGCTTTTATTTTTGTTAAAGGAAATTACGGACTTGATTAGGCTTTCTTTGAGTATTACCGAATTGAATTCTACGATTACAGGCTTGTTACCGAACTTGTTGTTTGTACGGAATGTATCTTTGACGTCATTAGCCTGGATATGTAAATTGACGGATTTGCCTATCTCCCTAACAATGTTTAATAAGTCCTGTTTAGACTCTTTGTCTTGTTTCGGTATGTTTCTTATTTCCACACTAGCATATCGGGACCGTTTCTCCAAGTAATCAATTTTGTCCTCTAATTGTTGGATGTACTTTCGATCCTCCAGCCTATCGGTCTCAATTTGTTTCATCTGTTCGAGGACATCGTCATATTTAGCAGATAAAAACTCGACGGAGTCCTGTAGTTTCTTATTTTGTGCCATCAGGTCCTCTTTTACCGTTTTCAAAACTGAAGTAAATGATGCTTGCCCCGCCTTAAGTTCTTTAAGCATTTCAATAATGTGAATTTCCTCGTCATCACACCTCCTTTTAATGCGTTGCGTTACAAATGCGGGTGATTGAAAATTTTCGTCACATGATGCACTCAAGTTAGGGTCAGAAAGACATATTTGTTTTTGGGTCGGTGCTTTCAGAGACTCTGTATTTATGGGCGTAGACGATGACGATGGCGGAGTCCTTTTTAATGGCATACTGTGTTATTAGGAATAATAATTTATTTAATGCACTGCTCCTGTAAGCAGTGAGGTGAAGTTTATGTTGACAGACCTTCCTTATGTAGCCGAGATCGACGGTTTCTTACAAAGTCTCTTTCCGTCCAGTTTAGCTAGAGCTCTCACAAATGTAGTGGGTATTATGAAAAATTTTATTTTGTATTATATTTCTCGATCGGAGACTAGTAGGTGTATAAAAGTGTCGTGTTGAATATTAGTGTTTAAAAATTAACTCACTGATATATCTGTGCCACTGTTTTGTTGCGCCTCTTCCAGGTACTTAAAGATGTTTTTATTTATTTGAACACAGCACCCACGCTAAGCACGTCTTATCGCTATCGCGTTCGGAGAGGGAAGCCTAATGGAACTAAAGTTATTGTTTATGACATTAGTATTATAGTTCTGCGAGGTATATATTTTATTTTTTTTTATAATATCAAGTGACGGGACTCTCAGAGCTTTAAGATAAAGATAAAGATCGATTTATTTGTGGAAGTAGGAACAATAAGTTCATCAGATCAGTTCAATACATTAACAGTGCTACTACAACTAGTTTCGTCGAAACATACAAATATAATTAGTGGTGGTCGCATAATATACAAAATATTATAATTAAAAACTGTCAAAGATTAGTAAATATGTAAAGAAAAAATATAATAAAAATTAGTAAAAATTAACAATGTCAAAAATAAAGCGAAAAATCATGTTAATGTCAAACTTACATAATTTACATTTCTAAGCCTCCATAAAATATGCGCATGTCAAAAATGAATCAAAGGCAATAATAACATAAATTAGTCAAATGCATCTGTAATCTTACTAGATATAAAAACAATTATAATTGGGCCCTAAATCCATCTCGTATTCATATAATCATTTATATTATAAAAACATTTATCAATTAAATACTGCTTACATTTTTTCTTAAACAAATCTACATGTAATTCACGGATAGATTTTGGGACTCTATTATATAATTTTGGCAGCATACAGAGCACACTTTTTGACATAAATGCAGTTTTATGTGGCATCATAGATACTGCATCATTATCTCTTCTATTCCTACGTCTTACTTCCACAAGTTTGTTGAACAGATTAGGGTTTGTTTTGACAAATAATACTGATTCTAGAATATACAATGATGGCACCGTTAGTATATTATATTTTTTTAAATAGGGCAAACCGCTGTCCAAGCGAGAAATGCTAAATATAGCTCTTATACATTTCTTTTGTGCTTTAAATACTAAATCCCGATCTGTAGAATTACCCCAAAAAATAATCCCATAGCTTAAATGTGAAGCCACTATACCATAATAAACCGTCAATAATGAGTTAATATCAATTATATGAGCCAATCTGTATAAGGCATAGGAAGAAATGCTTAATTTTTTACATAGGTTTTGAATATGTGTTTTCCATGTCAACTTATTGTCTACAATTACACCCAAAAATCTAGTCTCGGTTACTTGGCCTATACTTATGTTGTCATTACTAACATTGACGTTATTATAATTCTGTCGCTGACTGTAATGCATTACTTTAGTTTTTTCAAAATTAATACTGAGGTTATTTTCTTTTAACCAAGTTATAATGGACTCTACTGCTTCGTTAATGTCTTGTTCATAAGTAATTTTATTTTTACACTTAATTGTTATTGTACTGTCATCGGCAAAGAGAGAAACGTGGTGATTCGGTACAACTTTAGGTAGATCATTTATGTACAAAATGAATAGCAATGGGCCCAAGACGCTACCTTGCGGAACGCCGTACATAATTGTTTTACTACAAGATCTAAGGACATTCTGTTTTGGTACGGATATTTATGTTGCTGATTTCAGTGATTTGTTTTCGATTATTAAGATACGATGAAATTAGTTTAAGAATATTACCTCTTATACCATAGGTTTCTAATTTTCCTAAAAGTATTTTGTGCTCTACATGATCAAACGTTTGAGTCATGTCGCAAAAAATAGAGCAGACTGGAGTACTTTCATCTACACTTGATATAACTTCCTGCATAAAATCATATATAGCCATGTTTATATTCTTTTTTGGTCGAAAACCTTTTTGCTCACGCGCTAATATATTATATTTTCCTAAAAATATTTGTAATTGTGAACTTATGTATTTTTCAAATATTTTTGATATGACTGATAACAATGATATGGGCCTATAGTTCTTCATGACTTCCCTATCATCTTTTTAGTAAAGTGGTTTGACTATGACTGTTTATAAGTCATCCGTACTATATGTGTAATAATATTATAGATAAACGAAATAATAGCAGACGTACACTTAAATACTTAAGATATACATAATGTTTTGAAATAGTACAACCAAAAGTATGTTTGTTGAGATTAACTAAATATAATGTTCATCGCTCATTTCCGAAGATGATGCACTCACCTAAATACAGCACAGAAGGGAAGTTCTCAACCAGAATGAACCAAGCATAGGCGATGGGCAGCTCGTGGGCAAACAGCGCGGCGACATACATAGCCACGCCCACGACTACCAGCACCACGTTGACGAACAAACCGATTAGCTCGCACCGATAATATGGGCCGAATATCGCGAAGCTCTTCTAAAAATTAAAGACAGGCACCGTTTCAAAATAAATTACAGGAAATATTTAGTAACATTTGTTTTTATTATTAGCCACCCCGAACCCTATATTTACTCTCGGGGTAATGGTTAATTTAATTGTGAAATAGTGCATCAGTGAATCGCTTTACATTCTTTTAAAAATACTTAAAATTCTACTTTTATTGTTGCGTATTAGTAACATGAATTATAATAACATTATTTTCATAAAATTAATACTTTCCAATGGCTGACGACAGTAGGTGCTCTCAATACCGGACACGAAACAAATATTTACAAGAAAATGGAATTGTATACTGGAACAAGGGCTGCGTGATTGTTCTACTGTCACTTAAGTCCAGTCCTTTAATTTCGAACCTGAAGCTATGGAAATTCGCATTTTTTTAGGGATCCGTAGTACTAAAACGCTTAAAACACTAATCGATTTCCAGGCCCGACCCCTAACTGAGGGAGGTGTAATAGTATTAGCTCGTTAGGACTCCTGATTTGGTTCCCGGCTCAATTAATTGGTTTAATTTAAAATTTAAATACAAGTAAAAGAAAAAAATGATACGACGCAAGTGGAGAAAGGCGATACAAGAAGTTGGGTGACGGTGTAAGGAGGTCACACCGTCACAGGGTTGCAGTCTTCCATCAGGTGAAGGTATCGCGGTGAGAGCTCGACCAATGAGGAAGTGCCCGGAAGTTAGGCACATCATCAGGAGAGGATGACAGGGGACAAAGAGGACGGCTGTTCATTACGGCCTCTACTTGTGCAAAAAGAGTACCTAACTCTTCAAAAGTTAAGTGCGAGTTACCCACAACGCGTTTAATATGGTACTTAGCGGATTTTATGCCGGCTTCAAAGATTCCGCCAAAGTGAGGTGCGTAAGGTGGAGAAAATAAAACTTTTATTCCATCTTCACTAGCAACGTCAGATAAAGAGGCTGCGTTAGCGTTTAAACTTGGTGACTTGGCCTTTAATTGAACTACGTTTTGTGCAAAGTTCCAGTAAGCTTTGCGAATCCTTTGCACTAGTTTCACCTCCCATTGTTATTAAAATTCAATTTAACGTCAGGCGTTAACATAACCTTTTATTTGCATATACGCGCCAGACTTCACAAACAGTGAAATTATTGTCTGTTCACATAACTTTAATTAAGGTTAGTATCGCAAGTTAACCTACGTGACACCTTTTTTTTTAAAAAAAAACTAAGTAAAGTTGCTTAATTAGTAAGAAAACTAAATAAAATCTTAATATTATATTATTTTAATTATAATAAAAGCAACGCCATAACTTGGAGCCACGCTCACGCAGCACGCACGCAGGGCCCTTAAAGTCGGTAGTGTAATAAGCGTTTTATATAGTTTTGCAAAACGACTGTTAAGCCGCTTAGCATGCCCGAGAGCCGAGAGCCGAGTGCCAGGTCGAGCGGCAATGTTACGCCGTCGCGTGTTTGGCTCACCGAGTGCACAGCGGCGATGAGGGCGAGGCTCAACAGCACGTTGAGCGCAGCGAACAGCACCTCCTCCACTATGAAGACGACCTCGATGGCGTACGCCGTCCACGACAACGACCTCATGTAGTCGCCGCTTAACACCCAGATGCCGTACGCTGTCATTAATGCACGCAATGACAATACTATCTGCAATAACAAACGGGCAGAACCGTCGTGAGTCCAAGGGAGTTTATCCAAAAACTGAAGTGAGCAAGAAATACCTAAACGGCGACTGTTAGGAAAGGTCTATGAACTTTACACTTTTCAAAATCAAGCAAATATCGAATTTTTGAAAAAAATCACCCTCCTCTTGTAGTTCCGCCGCAGGCTGTACCTCCATAAAAAATGGGAAATATTGAAGTGCATATCAGAAACTTAATGCATATAAAATTATGTTCAGTAATCAAATAATTTTCAAATCTAAAAAATATTTCACTACAAATAAAACAACTGTCTAACAAAACTAGTTAGTATCAAAAATAATTTAAAAACATATGTCAAAACTAGACGTCTGCTAATGTCTCAGTGTACGTACAACAAAAATGTTCATTTATTAACAAAAATATTGATTGTACATCAATTTAAATTAACTCTAAACGAAATCTACTCCGTGGGTAACTCCTAATACTAAACTTATTATTGATCTGGGTAAGAAACTCTTTGCCGATTCCATCGCAGCCGACTCGACACTCATAAGGATTATTATAAAAGCCTCAAAAAAACAAGTTAACATAGCTATGCTCTCTGAAGTACGAGCATATTTTACCAACGTATAAATAGCTGCTCCAAGGACCCCGAAAGGCTCTGGAAAAACTTAAAGAATGATGTTCTTTCTTGTAATAAACGATATGAGACCTTGCCACCTCAAATTTCTGATCCTGAAGAAATAAACAAACATTTTAAAAGCGAACAAAGCTCTGTGGTCCAAATTCCGCTTCCTATCTTTGGCCGGTGATCGACTCAACCTTTTTTGTGACTATGACTTACATGTTTAGTTATAAGTACTGTAAGTGTAAGTTGTACAAAATAAATAAATAAATACATTTTCTAACCCTCCCATGTATTGACGCAATTCCACTTTCCGAAGTGGCATTCTTTAAGCAGAATAAATACAACAGTAGTATTTTTATATAGATTTTAAGACTTTCGTGGTTATTCACTAAATGATTATCACTAATATCAGGTTTCTTACCACGGTATGACTTCTTTTTATTTTCCCGATATTTCGGAACGGTTGCACGCTCCATGGTCACGGGTTGACTGGACGGCGACAGATGACAGCTTTAAGAGCAGACATATCTGTCTACCCTCTTGCGCTGTCGACGACTACCTTCATCGCGATTTGTTGTGACGTTACCATTGTCACTCACTTTTTTCACACAAACCACACTCACTGTAACTACACGCGAAACTGAACTCGAGGTGTTTTTGTTTTTATTACTGCACGCACTAAGGACCAGATTCCATGCACTGGACAGTTTAAAACCATCATCACGGTTAAATGTTTTATACTTCGTGATCTCGATGGCTTCTCGTACCAACCGTAGTATGTAGTGATGTTCTGTCGAGAGCACCTGGGGGCTATGCAACTCGATCCAGTGGTTAGTGTCAGTCTGTGTGAGATGTTGTGCTATAGCCGACTTCTGTGCATCATTGTTTTTTACTGCTCTGTGTGTAATGTGTTCCTTCATACGAACGACAATTTATTGTTCGTTTAGTCTGACCGATATACGAGCTCCCACAACTGCAGTTCACTTTATAGACGCCCGGTGTTTGTAAAGGAAGGTGGTCTTTTGGTGAACGTAACATTTTTCCTATTTTGGTTAAGGGGGTGAAAACAGTTTTTATGGAAAACTTCCTTAGCAACCTGGCTATTTTATCTGTCACCATAGTACATAGAGTAGAAAAACTGGTAGTCTCTCTACGTCAATTTGCTTCATCCTTTTGTACATTGGTTTAAATGTTCTTATTTTGTATCCATTCTGTCGCAAAACCGTCTTAACGTGCTCCTGTTCCTGTGGTAGGTGGTGTGCATCACAAAGATCATAAGCTCAATTGGTTAATGACCTGACGACCGAATGTAGGTGTTTTGGGTGATGATGTGAAGTGGCATGTAAATATTTGTCCGTGTGAGTTGGTTTTCTGTACACAGAATGACCGAGTGAACCGTCTTGTCGGACTTTGACCAATACATCCAAAAATGCAATTTTTCAACGCAACGCGCGATTTTTCTCAATTTCACAAGTGAACTTCATTTTGTTATGGGTGTTATTAAGACGTGCTAAATAATTTTGTATATGTTGCTCCTTTCCTTCCATTATGCAAAATACGTCATCAACATACCTCTTCCATAATTTTATTGTTGATGGTGCTGACAGAATGGCGGCGTGTTCGTGTGTTGTGGAAAATAAAAAGAAGTCATACCGTGGTAAGAAACCGATATTAGTGATAATCATTTAGTAGTATTTTTGCTCTGCGAACAGTAAATGAAATAGAGGTGGGTAGAGCCGTACTTTCAATAAAATCGGGAGCGTCAGGGGAAGATAATATAAATTCGGATATGGTTTTATTAACATTGCCGCACATTCTACCTCTTGTAACGAATATTATCAACAAATCCATATTTGTTCCTCGACATTTCCGCTTGACTGGAAGACTGCTCTGATTACGCCCATACCCAAAATTTCGAATCCTAATCATTATAAAGACCTTAGACCAATTAGTTTACTGCCCTATTTATCCAAAGTACTGGAAAGGATAGTATTTTGGCAATTGACTGCGTTTTTGGAAAGAAATATAATTCTACTTCTGTCTGGTCTGGTTTCAGAAAAGATCTCAGTACTTCAACTGTTCTTCAGAAGTGGTAGATAATATACTAGACGCTCAGGATAAGGGTATGGCCACTATACTGACTCTACTCGATTTTTCACGAGCGTTCGACTCTATCGGTATCCCCTTACTGCTTGCCAAACTTACATACTATGGTTTTGACACAGCTACAGTAAAATGGTTCAGTAGTTACTTGACTGATAGGACTCAAATTGTCAAAGTTCAGAAATTGAACGGCCATATCTCCAGATCTTCTGTAATGAATGTGCATAGAGGCGTGCCACAAGGATCGATATTAGGACCCATTCTTTTTGTTTTGTACTCTGCAGATATCATAAAGAATGTGAAATACTGCAAGTGCCATCTTTATGCGGATGATGTCCAAATTTATATTCATACGAGTCCACAGGACTTAAATCTGTCCCTTTCCAGGATCAACTCCGATCTTGATAGTACTGCCCGATGGTGAAATCATAATGCTTTGATTCTAAATCCAACTAAATCTAAGTTTATGGTTCTGGGTTCAAAAAACCAGGTTGTAAGCTTTCTTTCACACAGTCCTAGGATTAGTATTCTTGATCATCAGTCGAATTTGTTAACCAGGCCAAAAATTTAGGTGTCACTGTGGACAGTGGGTTACGATTTGTGAGTCATGTAGAGTCTATTGCCAGATTTTGCCTCTTTCGACTAAAGATATTATATAAAATTCGTCATTTACTCAGTGAAGATATTAGATTAAAAATGTGTAAATTTCTTATTTTATCAAAATTGAATTATGCGGATAGTTTTCAGTCCCTGTCTTCTCTCTACCTCAAAAAAATTAATACAACGTGTTCAAAACGCCAGCATTCGTTTCTGTTACAAAATTCCACCGAGGAGTCACATAACACCTTTGCTAAACCTACAAGGTATTCTTAATATGGAATCTAGGATTTTGCATTTTTCTACATTGATGCACTCCGTTGTTAGATACAAAAGTCCACAATATCTACATGCTAAGTTAAAATGGCGGACTTATTCCTAGAATTCACGCAAATTACGCACAGTTAATAGTTTTTTATTGGTAACTCCATTCCATAATACGGCGTTCCGCAAGGTAGCGTCTTGGGCCCATTTCTATTCATTTTGTACATAAATAATCTACCTAAAGTTGTACCGAATCACCACGTTTCTCTCTTTGCCGATGACAGTACAATAACAATTAAGTGTAAAACTAAAATTACTTATAAACAAGACATTAACGAAGCAGTAGAGTCCATTATAACTTGGTTAAAAGAAAATAACCTCAGCATTAATTTTGAAAAAACTAAAGTAATGCATTACAGTCAGCGACAGAATAATAATAACGTCAATGTTAGTAATGACAACATAAGTATAGGCCAAGTAACAGAGAATAGATTATTTGGGTATAATTGTAGATAATAAGTTGACATGGAAAACACATATTCAAAACCTATGTAAAAAATTAAGCATTTCTTCTTATTTCTTATGCAGATTGGTTCATACAATTGACATTAACTCATTATTGACGGCTTATTATGGTATAGTGGCTTCACATTTAAGCTATGGGATTATTTTTTGGGGTAATTCTACAGATCGGGATTTAGGGTCGTATTCCAGAACTCTACTCAATACTTAAGTCAGGACTTGAGTATTGCAGTGAGCACTGAAAATCATACTCAAGTCCTTGCCATTAGGGTCGTATTTCCAGTAATTGAAATCATACTCAAGTCTGCTCAAATCCTGACTTGAGCATTGAATAGAGTTCTAGAATACGACCCTTAGTATTTAAAGCACAAAATAAATGTATAAGAGCTATATTTCTCGCATGGACAGCTGTTTGCCCTATTTAAAAAAAACATAATATACTAACGGTGCCATCATTGTATATACTAGAATCAGTATTATTTGTCAAAACAAACCCTAATCTGTTCAACAAACTTGTGGAAGTAAGACGTAGGAATAGAAGAGATAATGATGCAGTATCTATGATGCCACATAAAACTGCATTTATGTCAAAAAGTGTGCTCTGTATGCTGCCAAGATTATATAATAGAGTCCCAAAATCTATCCGTAAATTACATGAAGAAGTCCAGGAGGCAAGAAATAAAGATTGCCGTAGATTCCGTGAGCGACACACTAGGAAGCGGTCACGTATTGCCACGAATAGATAAGATCTTTTGAGAATGCTCCTGATTACGTCCGATCCTGTAATCAACACATTTAGAGAGTTACCGAGAAAGAAGATTACTGCTTTGCCAGCAGAGGTTCTGCAGTTGATTATACCACCTTCCCTACCATCCCAATTATCATCAGTTCGCGAAATTGATGAGGAGGATTACGTGTTGTCAGACTCTACCGAATTGGAGAGTAATGATGAGGAATCATCTGAAGATGAGCATTAGATATTTCTGTAATGTCTTTACATTTAGATTAGATAAATTAGGTCTTGTTTATTATTGTAATTAATTATTATATCTAGTTTTAATATGTAGTTGTAGAGTATTTTACTATAGGTGTTTTAGTTATATAATGCACATTTATTATTATACGTGTCAATTTTGTTACTTACTACTGAAATATAATTTTTGTTGTTATTGTATTGTTCGTTGATTTAATTTAATTGTATAAATATAAAAATTGTAAATAAATACCTACCGAACACGTCATTGGTAACGTGTAATAAACATTTGTTTTTTTAAATTTATTTTTAATTTCTTTATGTCCTAATACTTTTATATAATAAAAGAACAATACACTCGTGTCTTACAGGCATGTGAAGAAGGCAGAGGCACCTAATTACAGAGCTATCACCGACATTTCACCGCGAAATTGGTGACCTTACCCCGGGAGTGCTCGCAAGTGCCTTTGAGTGCCTGCGAGAGGCAGGAGTGCTTTTCGTGCCTTTGAGTCCTTTTGAGTGCCAGCGAGTGCCTTTGAATGCATTTGAGTGCCCGGGAGTGCCTTTGAGTGCTTTCGAGTGTCTTTGAGTGCCTTTGAGTGTTTCTTTTGCCTCCGGTCTACCCTAATATGCTGCAATGTTGACATACAACCTCAAGCAGTAACTGTAACCCACAATGATGAATTAAGTGACCACGCCCTTGTGTCAGCAACTTTTCCTATAAAGTTTCCAAAGTACGCGTCTCGATCAATCACGTACATACATAGATTTAGTATATCGTACAGACCTTTACATGAATTTGAATTGAACACATATCAGGCGTCCTCAGTTACGCCATGGGATTGGGTATAATAATAATAATAAAATCGTTTATTTATCTCCACACATTAATAAATAAAAATATAACGCTCTACAGTGTTCAGTAACAATAGTGATGCGAGATAAAAAGGTCTGTAGCTCAGCACAATGGCGGAGTGTTTCACAAAGCCACTGATATTCTGCTACGGCCTGCCATATTCTAAAAAGAAGAAGAACTAACATACACTATCATTCTAGTTCTAAGATTTCAAGTCGATTATTAGATATTTACCAGACATGAATCGTATAGATTTTTTCATTACACACAGAGCACTATCCACACACAACTACACTACAATGCCTACCTACAAGGTTTACCTGAACTATAACCAATTAAAACATTTCTTGCGGAAAGTACGTAATGACAAAATATGGCAGTCTCGCACAGGCGGGGGATGATCATTCCACCCGAAAAACAACCCGAAGTCCCGACCAAAGTATAGACACTTACACAGCTTATAAATATGACCCCGATCTCGCAAAAAATAAAGACCGCTTTTCGGCGCCAATTTTTCAGAGGTAAATCGAAACCTGAAACTTATGTAAGGATTGTACAAAGCAGGCTAATTTTAGTGCTCTAGAATTGGCCTTATTAAGCTGTTTGTTATCGACAAGATACGGTGAAATATGTCCTCTTTTACGTGTTCTAAACAAACGACCGTTTGACAACTTACTACCACCATACCATAAATTACCATAAATTGGTACTTCCAACACCAAGGATGGAAATGTTCAAAAATAGCCCTTATTATAGAGCAATCAAAATATATAATAAATTACCGCTCAGTATTAAAAGCGAAAAAAATGACAAGACCTTTAATATAAAATTGAAATCTTTCCTTACCGAGAAATGTTTTTATTCAATCGATGAGTTTTTTTAATGATTCATTTTAGTAATTTAATTTGGTATTTTGACATTAACACTAACTTTAATTGTGACATGTATTTTATTTTGAATTTAATTTTAATTATGACTGTGTGATTTGTTTATTTACCTATATAATCTTGACTTATAATTATAAGTATAATCTGTACTATAATTATAATCTGTCTATGATTTCGTGATCGCTACATCTAAATTAAAATTAATTTTGTCTAGTCTGAATTATTAATACTAAGTGTAAAACGCTGCTATTAATTATTTCAAAATTTAAATGTATGTATCCAATAATGTTATTTTATTATTGTGATTGTTATTAGTTTTTGTTTAGTTTACTTTTTTTTTGCATGCGGTATTTCCGATAAATAATATTTGTATATATGTACACATGTGTATATATGTATATATATGCATGAGTGTATATACATGTATACACGAGTGTATATATTGAATATTGCGATGCCCTGCAGTGTCCATATGTTATCTTAAGTATGCTCAATGTAAGATCTGTAGCTATGTACATATGATGCAATAAATAAATGAATACTCTGGGTGCAATCAGATCCCATGGCATATGCACTGGAGATTGAAAAACAGTGACGCTAGAATAAGGTTATCCCAGAGTAGGCCAGTAAGACAATGCTACGTAACCTAAAAACGGCGTTTTTTTTAACACCGATCATTATGATACCTAAATAGTATTAGTACCGGAGTAAGTACTTACTAATCTGAAATATGCGAACACTAACAGTCCTTGCCGCGAAGGGAAGCAGAAACAGCATCTTTTCGTGTTTGGAATTTCAACGCGCATTTTCTTGGCAATTTAAACACTCTAAAAAACCTTTTGATACTTAAATTCGTCACTCAACAACGTGAAACTAATGTCGTATATGAAAATGAAGTGCGTGTGCATTTCTCGTCCGCTTAATAATTACTGCGCGTAACAACACTACCACACGTTTCTAATCAGCTTGAAGCTCAACACGCGAGAGATTTATCACTGTTACGAGAAACCGCGGTCAAAGTTCGCGGCGGAGACTCCAAACGCAATAGCGAATCGTACACAACATGTTCGCGCGGTGGGTTCGCGGCACAACATAACATGATCTAATCCGAGGCTAAGTAAATTGACCAAATTGGCGACTGTGCGGTGTATATAGTTGCCGAAAGAAAACAATAACACAATTGGATTTAATATTTATTATAACTCCATCCAACCAAAATCTTAAAGGATTAAGACTTTGGTTGGATGGAATTAGGGTTGGACCCCACTTCGAAGCAAGCGGACGAAGACGCCGGCGAAGGCTAACATGTAAATAAAAGGCACGTTTCAGTCTTGAAAGTATATTGCCACTCTCCGTACTTAAAACAAATATTGCGTTTTAGCAAATGATGAGAATACAAACATGTGAACAGAGACGCTGCATTTGGTCCTAAATGGTTAAAAACGGAACTGCGAGGAGGTCGTTGTCAAACAAATAAACAAACACGGAAACAAAATACTTGTACAAAATAAGTCATAAGCTTCTGTCACACTAAAGTCAAAAAAATAACAGAAATGTACGTGCATGTGAAATTTTATATATCTCCTGTAGTTAGTTCTTAGAGAAGTGCTCTCCAATTTCGTTCTGTTTCAAATGTACCCATATCGCCGAGGCAAATGAACAATTCAAGCCCGTAGTAATATAATTAGAACAATAAATTCATTCTTGGAGCAAACGCAGCGCAAAAACGCGACTAAATAACAAGTTCAAGCAATATCATTTCCATAGCTGCCCTCTGGCTTTACCAGACATTTCAGTTGCGAAAACAGTCTGCAATTGAACGCGCTATTTTTCACTTTTTTTATTCATACTCGCAGGGGAGTAAGAAACGACGGATGAAAAACATGTCAAGAACAAATAGTGGCAGTAAAGGCTAGTGTCGACACTCGTAACACATTCAATAAGGTATTTTGCAATAATTGAACCGACTTATGACCTATTGTACCTATCGGCACAGGGTGTTGGGTGTTGCGGAAAGTACAAGTTATTATTTTTAAATGGTTTACAACATTGCATTGTTGTAGTAAGGAATATAAAAATATAAACATTTCGAGACTTAAATTCAAGGCCAGCCAACAGGTTCCCACTGCGATGTACTCGCACGTTGAAGTCGGCTGGTCATCCGCGGTGCGACAGTTTACTTTCGCGCGCGAGACCAAATTCTGTCTTAAAATTGTAGAATTGACATAACACGATTTGAAAATAATCACATTATTCGCAATAAGATCGTTTCAGTATTTTTTTAACTTTCGAATCGTGTTTTCACAATTTTTGGATTACAACAGTAGTAGTACCTGGTTTCAAGTGTTAGTTATCAGATGACTCTGATATGATGAAAATATTTGTCAAATACCAAGACCGTTAATAAAAAACGATATTTTACCTCTTCACGTGTAGAGACTTTCTACGCGACATTGGCGGAATTGTGAAAGACATAGAATAAGCCACTAAAAATAATAATAATAATAAGAAAAGATGTTGATTGTTTGCGAATCGTCCGACATGCGTTCAGTACATCGTAGTGGTATAGAGAAAATGTGACCGGGGACACATCGCAGCAACACCCTGTGCGCGAGTTCAACAGCTTTGGCAAAACGTGTACCTAAAACTAAAAAGTCCTTAACTCTAATCGAAAACGAACAAGTGCGACAGTCGCGACAGCCGCGTAGTCGTGTCGGTCCATCGTACTGAACCCGAGACCTTTTAAGAGCATGTGTACAATTGGCAGTTGTAATTTGCTATAACTAGGGGGTTGAAACTTTGCGTTAAAAGGTGACAGGTTAATTAAAAATCACCCTGCCAAATATGAATGTTTACAAAAATATGAAATTTTACAAAAATATACACAAATTTCTGATTATCTATAAAACGTGTCGATCGCGTTACGTCGCGACGTTCGTCAAATTACATGAATGTCACCCGAGAAAACGACAAAGCCAAAAGTATCAGGACTAGTCGGTCGCATTCTTCGGAGTCGAGACTTATCGAAGTTCCGGCGTCTAATCCCAAAAAAAAGCAAATCATAAACCCCGGCGCCGCGGCGACCGGAATTTGTCTACTCGGTCAGTCTAATTTCAAATCTAGGATTAAGTTTCAAGTTTTTCGTAAATATCACTGCAGTACTCGATACCGAAAAACGTTTCCTACGCAGTGCAATTCTGCCTAAACGAAAAAAAATACTACTAGGCGTGCTTTATACGACAGTTGTGCCTTTCTTCGTTCCTAGGGCAGAATTTCACTCGGCGACGTCACCAGCTCACCGTGCCGACCCGTACAAGCTAAAAAATGCGAAGGCGAGTCTTCGTTCGGGGCGGGCGCGGCGGCCGCGGCGGCTCTCGGCGTCTGCGAGGGCCGCGGGCCGGGCGGACCGAGCCGAGGCCCGAGGCGTTCGCGAGGTCGGTAGACACAGCGTCGAGCGGGACAGTCGGACTACGTTGCACTGCACTAATGGTAAAATCGACGGACGGAATCAGCGGGAAGTTGAGGCGCCGAGCGGCGGGTCAGTCGCGCGACGCGCTCTCGCTCGACG